CAGTGCACATTGTAGAGTCAGGGTTCTTATCGATCTAAACCATATTTCGTGTTCCCTGGACTGGATTATACAGCTGTCTTCTACTGATTTTTTTTTGATACCCTACAGAAATGAATGGCTGCCTGGAATGGTAGAAAAACGGAAAACAAGCAACATAAACTGAAAGTCTACACAGTTTGTTGTTAAAGCTTAAACTAAGAGCAGCCGTATATCCTCTTTTCAGTTACCCTGTTTTGTGTATAGTGTGCACGTGTGCATGTGCAGTCCTCCTGCTCCTGTTGTGGCCTGCAGTGCAGAGCTTAACCCATGATTGAGACCATGCCAGTGTGTGTGCCAATTCTCTGCAGGGGGCTCAGGCTTACTGTCAGTCTGATAGAGATTAAAGCATAAAGTTTTACCTAAGGAGGGCTCTGGACTATGTTAGAGACCATTAAGTGCGTGAGACAGACAAACAACTGAGCACGTTATATTTACAGAGCATTAAAAGTTGATCTGCAGGTATGCAGCGCGCATAAGGCTTAATAACCAATAATGCAAACACACTAATAGGATCTGTACTGCTGAGTAGATCCATAAAAATAGAACAATCCTCGGAGGAACCAGACTGTGTCAGTCTCATCCTTCCATAAGCACAAGCTGCTGCTTTTTTTTTTTTCGGGAGTCGGATATTTTCAGAGCTCTCAAGGTAAAAGCTTGTTCTACATTTCTTCGGTTTGTGTTTTGCACAGAATGGCACAGTTGCAGTGCAACAGCAGGCTTGGATGAGATATTGGAGGAGACTTGCAATACAGCTGTTGTTTTTTTTAAACTAGATATTTTAAATGTTTGCAAGCTGGAAGACATCTTACTCTGTGTTCACTGAAGGTTAATGGGAATAATTTGCATTGATAAGACGCCATAAACTAAATAAATATGCAGTATTCAGAGCAAAAACACACAGTTATGGTTGTTTCCTGTTATTTACTATTTACTTGCTGTTGCTTTCAGCTTATTTAAGAAAAAAATTGCGTAGTAATTTGAGGTTTTGTTGTGTACATTTTTTGGATATTCACCTTTATGTATAATTCATCTGCACTTTATGGTAGTAAGCCATCATATTTCCTAGTGTGATACTAATGAACAAATCCAAAAAGATTAACTGACAGCTGCCTTAGTGGATCTGTTCAGCTCATCATGTTTATTGGTTTGACATTGATTTCATATTGGATACTAATGAACTGACATTTTATCCACTCCCCTTCATCCTGTAAATATTATATATAAATTTGCTTGTGAGCTGGCACCACCATGTGGTCGTTGTTTCTTTTTGCTAGCAAAAAAAAATTCTTCTCCTGTTCTGAAGCTTGAGGCACGATGTGGAGGTTTCTTGCTCAGATTCTCTTCATCGCTGAAGTCATGCTCTGTGCCGCCGACTCTCCTCCGATCAGCGAGGAAACACTGAAAAGTAAGGCCTTCGCTGACGGAAAAGAAAAGCGAAAAACAAGATACCGGTGATTACTGTTGCAGAGCTTAAAGTATTGTGTGTTCCACGGGTGTGTGCAGGGCTTTCCGCAGCGGGAGAGCAGTATGTTGATGAGGAACTAAAGGGAACTTTGCTCGGAGTGAAGCAGGTGAAGGAAATGATGGAGAAGAAAGAAGAGAAGCACAGGCACCTGATGGATGCACTGAGGCACAGCAGTGATAAGAAGAAGGTGAATTCTGTTCGTTTTGCACTGTGCTGATCGTCCAGTTTCAAAAATCCTGCACAGCATTTGTGGCTGGTTAAGATGTACCCGCAATTAAAACCGTGTTTAAACGGTTTCATGCCAATCCTTGTGCATTTTTCTGAAACCCACCACATATTTTCTGCTTCACAAAGACAAAGTCACACGGAGAGACCTCAAAGCAGACAGTGAAAAATGAGTGTGGGAGTGCAGCTGGTTAAGTGAGTCTGGGGTGTAGTTTTACTACAGTCAGGATAAATTAACTGTCTCTAGATTATTATATTTTCTGAGTGTTTTCAGAACGCAGGGCAGGGCAGGGCAGAGTGCCAGAGCCTCAGACTTCATCTTATCCTCTGTGGTTTATTAAAAGGGAATGTATCTGTGACAGAGTTTTCTGTTTTTTGGGTTGGGTTTTAGGGGGTGATGCAGCTGGCCAAAGAAACACAGCAAAAAGTCGAGGAAGCCGAACAACAATGTCAAGATTTAACCAAATCTTCCTTTGGGGAGTGCCGACCATGTTTGGAAGATTCTTGTAAGGCCTTCTATACATCTACGTGTCGCCGCGGCTTCGCCTCTTTCTCGTTCAAGGTTTGACTTCAGCACATTCCAACAAAAGGAATCTCTTTAGGACTGATGTTTAAGGTGCAAACATATCTCTGTGAATCTCTCTCCCTCCCTTCAGGTAGAGGAGTTTTTCAGGAAAATGGCCACTAAGTTGGAAGATGCCGAGCAGGTCCACAATAAAAATCAGGAGAATTCAGGTGAAAATGTCGCAGCTGAAAAGCAGGTCACAGAGGACAAATCCAATATGGAGCTGCTGCAGGCTGAAGCATCGTTCAGCGACCTGTTGTCAAACATCAGCCTTTTGTACAACCAGAGCATTGGTCTGGCCAAGAAGATGCAACCCGTGTTTGGTCACGCCTTTCTAGAAACCTTTGCCACTGAGCTGCAGTCCAGCACGCTTTCGACCAGAGGGTCAAGCTCTGGCTTCCTTGGGTCGGTGGGTTTGGAGCACGTTCTTCACTCAGTGCTTGACTTTGGGAAGAGCGTGCTGGAAGGCTTCAGTGCCCCAGTGGCTGATTTGTTTGAGGAAATAAAAGAAGCTGAAGAGTACGTTCAGCAATCAAGTCGAGGTATCTGATGCACAACGCTGCACTCTTAAATGTGTGTGTTTGTAGACAATGGTTGTTTGTGTGTAACATAATTCATGTCCACCTACAAAGATACAGGCTTGTTTTCTGCAATGGGACCGCTGCAGAGCAGATATATGTGCAGAAGACTCCGCAGACAAGCATCAGAGTGCTGGAAGCTTCAAGACCTGTGTGAGACATGCAGGGATTATCTGTTAAAGGGTAAATCCAGATTTATTTTGCCGCTCTTCCCACACAGACACATATAAACAGTTTAAAACTGGTTTTATTTGACGTTAAAAAGAAGGAAAACTATGGAAAACAAAAAATGTCTGTCACAATTTCCTAGAGTCTCAATGCCACATAGCTTGTTGGGTCTGAAAAACTGTCCAAACCCAACAATATGGTCAGATTAAAATGATTTAGCAGACATAAAAACAGAACATTCACATCTGAGAAATGGGAATCAACTTGTTTAGGGCATTTTTGAGGCTTTACTTAAATGGTTAATTCGTTGTTAAAATAGTTGTTGATTAATTTTCTCTTGACTGAGAGGATTTTAAAAAATGGTTTTAACGCTTTTTAGATAGATGATTAAAATTCTTTCATCAGGAATAATGCAAAAAAAAAAAAAGTCCTTTAGTTCAACATGAACATCTGGATTTCTGCCTCCTCGTACAGCATGCCCCAGCGTGCAGCAGTTGCACTCTGAGATGGAGGAGATGTACATGCTGCTGAACGCCTCCCGTCAGCAGTATGACGGCAGGCTGCAGCTGGTCCACAGACACACAGCAGACACTCAGATGTGGCTCAGCAGCATGCATGACAAGTATGGCTGGGTCAGCCAGCTGTCCAACAGCACAGTGGACCCACACAGCATCTTCAGTGTGATATTGGTATGTGGCTAGTGATGCTGCATCTGTAGACATTATCTTTGCTGTATAAATTGGGAAGCTTTTATTAAGGTTGCAACAAGCCAAGGTTGCAATTTTGAGTCAGACGGCTACTTTCATTTTCATCTCTTCTCATCTTTTAGGTGAGTCCACAGCAACAGATAAAGAATAACAAGCCTAAAGCAGACAGCAGTGTCACTGTCTCCATAATGGATTCAGCCCCAGTAACCATACTGGTCCCAGCAGATCTGGAGGTGGATGACCCTGCTTTCATCCAAAATGTTGCTCAAGAGGCTCTGACACTATATAAACGGAAGATAAAAGGTATTGATCCCACGGTTGTGGTCCCTTAGTGCAGTATTTGGCTACCAGCATCACCTGGCAGAGTTCCAAATTGAATTTAACCCAGATGAACTGCGATCATTTGAAAGCGCTTTACACTGCGATCGCTACAGATTGGATAGTATGTTGCAATCCAAGATGATAATGTGACTAGAAAAACATTCGTCTTTTTATTGACTTGTTTAAAAAGATTAATTGGATCTACATGAAATCAATCTCTAATTATATTATATTTTTTTGTTTTTTAATGGTCTGTACACTTACATAATGTAAAACTTAATAGTTTTTTTTCTGCACAGGAATGGAGTAATGTGATCATACCACCATGGGAACAGTTTCTTTATGCAGAGTGAAGAGTCCAGGACATTCAGGTTTTCTCGTGCACAATTAAGCTGATCTGTATAATACTTGAAAATGCACCGCATAGACCTCTAAACCTTCATATGCACAGTTTATGTTGTTCTTATTCATGTATTTTGATGCTTAGATTTTTAAACGTCTACGCAATAAAACAGTGTACACTCCTCAACCTCTATTTTGTTTGTTATTTATGTCACGAGTACTTTTGAATTTAGTTTTTGAATCGTACTTCATAGTATGTTTTGTTTACAGTTTTAAATAAATGCAAACCGTGGTTTGCATCTCGTAAATCTGTAAGAACAGTGAAAGGGTGACTTTTGTTCGTATGCATTTCTCTTATCAATTCATAGTTTTCAATCACGTGATCGACTCACTAATTTGGCGGTAAAGGGGCGCAGTGGTGTTTTGCCCACGTGAACCTTGCTTTGTTGCACATGCGGAAGAGGTTCGTATAAGAAAGATCTTCTCCTTCTATGATTGGCCGTTCTATCGCTGTACCCAGAACAGCCAACCAGAGAAGCAGTTTGACTGGGAGCGCAACAAAAAGCAAAAAATGAGCGGGAGTTCTTCAGTTGATTCTGAGGCTGGAAACACTGAAATAGTTTATTTACAAAAATGCCCGCAACTTCTGAAATACACGCCGGGGAGCTGCCGAAGCAGGGCAGCTGTGAGAAAGAGGAAAAGCAGCGGCTGACGACGGCGGCCGAGAAGCAGAAAAACTCTGGATTTTTCTGTGATGAACAAGGATATCTGAGTCTGGTGGGGCACATCTTGGAGAACGGCCGCTTAAAGGGGGACCGAACTAACACTGGAGTCCTGTCCCTGTTCGGCGCTCAAGTCAGATACAGCCTGAGAGGTACAGTTTACAGCTAGCATGGCATTGTATCTGTGTGTTAAAAGTACTGAAAACAGAAGGACTGCATGAAGTAATATGAAAAAGTCTTCCTAAAACAAAGTAATCTGCACCTTTTAGTCTGCTAACCGCTGTAATTGACTTACAAGTATAAAGTGGCATAACATTAAAATATAAAATAAAGGTAGTCGTTGCATAAACACCCATCTGCAAATGACAGCTGCTTCCTACTTCCTCAGCAACATCACGTAACGTTTTCTTTTTTTTTTTTAATTGCAATCTTTCACAGACCAGTTTCCCCTGTTGACAACAAAGAGAGTGTTCTGGAGAGGGATCCTTGAGGAGCTGCTGTGGTTCATCAGGGTGAGCCTGGCAGGAAAACAAAAAAAAAAACACAAGTCAATGAAAATCTTGCCAGTGTATAAATTAGATCTGATATTTTTGCAATCTGTCACAGGGATCAACAAATTCCAAGGAGCTGTCAGAAAAAGGAGTGAAAATCTGGGATGCCAACGGGTCTCGGGACTTTCTGGACAACCTTGGGTTCACTGACAGAGAAGAGGGTGACCTAGGACCTGTGTATGGTTTCCAGTGGAGGCACTTTGGTGCAGAGTACACAGACATGCATGCAGGTACAGTTTTCACCCAGTTGAATGAAGCTGTGAAGTCATTTGTCAGGATCAGATCTGCTCACCAAACTGTAGCCATGCATATAATTTTTCCTTTATTTGTCCATATTTTTATCCCAGTAGAAGAAAAACAATACAGGTTTGTTTGTGGTTGGTGCGGCAGCTATACAAGTAACTGTCTGAATTACTACATATAACTGGAAGTGCATGAGGAAACATCCACCTTTGGACTTTATAGTTAATTTGTTCACTCAAAGGTATTTGAGGGCCACCCTTTATTTAGTCATTCTGAATATTTCATAAAGATGCACAGAAATTCTGTAAAACATACAGCAGGCTGTGGGGTTTTACAGGTGTTATCTCATATGGAAATGCTGCTGTAAATGAAAATCATTTGTAGAGATGTCGAGTTTTCATGTTTTTTCCTGGTTTCATCTTTGGACAGATTACACAGGACAAGGTGTTGACCAGCTGCAGAAAGTCATTGACACCATCAAAACGAATCCAGAGGACCGGCGCATCATCATGTGTGCCTGGAACCCCAAAGGTGAGGCCAACGGAGACCTTTTGCTTTAAGTCGCATTTGGTGAAGAATTATACAAAAGGTAAATCTTTGTCGCGTCTTGTGGTGTTGCAGACCTCCCTAGGATGGCGCTGCCCCCCTGCCACGCACTCTGCCAGTTCTACGTGTGCGACGGCGAGCTGTCGTGTCAGCTGTACCAGCGCTCAGCTGATATGGGATTAGGGGTGCCTTTCAACATCGCCAGCTATTCACTTCTTACCTACATGATTGCACACATTACAGGACTCAAGGTATGGCCAGTGCATTCTTGTCATATTTGATACCTGTTTGGTCCAGCAGTGTCCCCTCTATCGCATCACCTGATATATATTTTTTTAATCTGTCCATTCAGCCGGGCGACTTTGTTCACACCCTGGGAGATGCTCATGTTTACCTCAACCATACTGAACCTCTCAAAGAGCAGGTGGGTTAGTTAAATGTGCTTCTTGCATGTCTCGTTGCTTTTTTTTATTTATTTAAAACTTACACGTTTGTTTGTGTTTCATGTGCAGCTTCAGCGAGAGATCCGACCATTCCCCAAACTGAGGATCCTGAGAAAAGTGGAGAAAATCGATGATTTCCGCACGGAGGACTTTGAGATCTACGACTACAACCCACATCCCACAATCAAAATGAAGATGGCTGTGTAAACTCAAGTCACAACGTTGTTATGAATGAACAGTATGCTCTCCACTGTAATGTATGCCTGCTTCACTCATGCTAAAAGTTCAGTTTTTTTCTGTCTGATTTGGGTGAACTCTCTTTTAAGCCTTAAGCACTTCAAAGTGTTTTTTTTCTCTCTCTTCAAGTTCTTTGTTTTGTGTTTTAAATGAATAATTATCTAAGTCTGTAAATAAAGATGTTAACTTTGTCAGCTTGAGCGCAATCTAGTTGTACATTTAGTACAAAATATGACACTGGTGGGTAAGTGGAGAGTTTGCTTTGATTTTTAGTTTATTTAAAGAGCTTGAAGATGCTAGTTGTGACTTTGCAAGACGTCACAAAAGTTAAAAGATATGTTCATATATCCTAATAAAGGACGGGTTTACCAATTAAAACTAAGTAAAGGGTGTCACATACAGTGAGCCCAGGTTGCCTACTTTACAGCTTTGTCCACAAGTCTTTAATTTCATGTATTTGCAACTTCCTATATGCTAACTGATGAACTGGAGTTGTACACCCATGAACTGTTTGGCTTAAACAGGGTAGCGGCCTTCAGATATCTTGTTAATGGGTTTCTGCTGCAAAGCACTGCATAGGAGGGAAATTCTTCAGAAGACAGAATTTAGAGGATTTACATGACAAGTGCTTATGAAGGAAAGATGACCACAATCTGATTACTTAAGAGGACTTAATACAAGGTTTACAGCTTGACTTGTAATTTTTCAAGTTTCATTAATATAGTTCTATTTCACAGCAGCAGTTTTCTCACAGCACTTTACATTATAAAGGAAAGACCAAAGAGTATTTAAAAAAAAATCAAATGATTCACTAAAACTTGGCACTTTGATCAGTAAGAAGAAAAATATTCTATTTAACAGAAAAAGAGCTCTGGAGAAAGTTAATTTCAGTTCCCCAGGCTTTCTAAAAGACTTTTTCTTTGGACATTTTCAGTCCAGTCCTTTTATGTGACAATTTCAGAATGTTTATTCCCCTCCAATGTTTGTACTGTACAAATGTAAAATGTTTAAAATACAGTCCCTATTTCTGTATTTCCTGTTTCCATATGTCTCCTTCAGGGTACTCATGTCGGTTCACAGATTCCTCCAGCATCTCACAAGAATAGCCTGGATCCTGAAATCAAAGAGCAGAACGATCTATACCAGCAGCTGTAAACAACACAAAGTTGTTGTTTTTTTTCCAGAGTAATGCAGATTGACTTCGTAATCAGTTTCTTGCCTTCGGTGGCATATAGTGGGCGTCTTGAATCACTACAGGACTAGTGAAGTGCTCGTGGAGGTGGTCTACATATTCACACATTCTGGGGGGAAAACAAATCAAAAAGTCAGTGTTTGGTTATAATCACTGAGATCAAACTGTTGATAAAAATAAACGCTGCTCCTACCGGTTCCTGAGATCCGCAGACACGCAGATGTAATCAAACAGAATCAGATGCTGGACGAGCTCACAGAGCCCGACTCCACCGGCATGAGGACACACAGGCACTGAGAAAGAAGAAACGCAAACCCACGAGTTTCCTCTGTGTAGGCAGTATTTGTCTAATAACCTTTGAGGGCCTTTGGCAACTTTTAAAAAACATGCCTTGGGGATCTGTATGATTCATGATTGTTATTCCTTGAACTTTTACCTTGGAACTTGTAAGCCATCAGCAGCACGGCCAGGTTCTCGTTGACACTGCCCAGCCTACAGCTGTCTATCTGGACAAACTGCAGTGCAGAGGCCTGCAGGAACTGCTTAAACATCACCCTGTTGTGACACTGGAGAGAAAACTCAACTCAACTCAACTAAAAATATACCCATCAAAGATATGCTTGTTGGAACAGACCTGAGCTCTGACCTGCTCGCCTGTTGCCACTCCAATCCCCAGTGGAGCCAAAGCCTGCAACAAGAAAGTTGTTTATCACTCAACAGCCCTGGATGGATGACTGAATGTACCTAAGAGACAGAAAGAGGGTCCTGTTCTTGTGTTTATTGTTACCCTTAATATTATTCATTAGAAATCAATGATACAACCATATAGAGGTTTAAAACGACTGCCAAGGGATGCAAAATAGCCACAGAAAGACATAAAATGTATCTGATGGTTTGTTTTGATGATTTTTCAACCTTTCTGTTGTCCCGTATACTTACTGTATCCAAGAAATGCCATTCATACACATAAACAAGCTGAAAACTAGAAATTATTCTCTTACCTTGGAAATAGCAGCATGACCCAGGATGTCATCTGGAGACGTGGGCTCCTCGATCCAAAGGGGTTTGACCTCAGCCAGTCTGGACACCCAACTTATGGCCTCGGCTACGTCCCATCTCTGGTTGGCGTCGATCATCTAACAGAAAAATAAACCCCTTTGGTATAATTTCCTAATTCCATTACACATGCAGGGGCAAGAACAAGCTTACCAATGTGCTGCTGGGTCCAATCATTTTCCTTATGAGGCGGCACCGGCGTATGTCGTCCTCTAGATCAGCGCCAACCTTCACCTTAAATCTGGTCCATCCGCTTTTAAGAGCATCCGAGCAGAGCTTAACAGAAACATGACTGTCATTATAGTTAGTAGTATGCCTAACTAGGCACACTGTTTGCTGAGCGATTTATACAACAGAGACCTGCTTGAGCTGCTGGTCTGAGTATCCGAGCCAAGCACAGGAGGTGGTATATGCAGGATAACCCTCTTTCAGCATCTGATCCTCTGATAGAAAAAAGATATGTACTGAATTAAATTGTGTTTAAATGGAATAAATTGGCCTTTTATGGTGGCTGAAAGGGCTCTGGTTGGTTTCTAAAGAGGCAGTAATTAGTGTGCTCACCTCTCTGCTTCTTGCCCTCCTGTGCTTTCACAAGTATGTCTAAGAAAAGAATGAAGACAGAAGGAGCGTGACACAGCGTTTTGGTTAACACTGCATTTCTCAAACTGTACTGGACACACTCAATGACGTCGAAAACCAGTCTCACCCAGAGCTTCTTCCTCTGTAAGCACATCAGTGATGTATCTGAAGTCGATGCACGACACAATCTGCTTCGGGTCCTGAATTGACAAATACATGGCATGATATTTCCCTTGTGATTACATCCCGGACATAAATCGGTGGAGTAAATTATCTCTGACTCACCATGTCCACGAGCAGCTTCCACAGCGGCTGTGGAAAAAGTCTGTGAGCCATGATGTGTCATGCTTTATGAAAGAAACAAAGTTTTACTTATTAAGCTTCATCTGAGATTTCCCCACCTTGCCTTCAGCTCTTGCCCAGAGGTCCCACACAGCATTCAGGACTGCAGCAGTGGCCAGGTGGATCACTCCTTTCTCTGGGCCTAACTGTACCAGACGAGAGTCATAATTACATCTAGCAAAACTGGAGAGTACACCGCCGTTTGTTAATAGACACATTTTTCATCATGTATTTATTAACTAGGTCTCTTTTTATAGTTAATTATTGTTGGAGGCTTTTTTGGCATGAAAAAACAAGCATACATTATTCAACAACACTGGCAAAGCCACCAGTCTGAATAAGCTGTCTCGTATGGATACAAAAGTGTGGACACCGCTAGATAAATGACATATTTTATAAATATAAAATATGTCATTTAACATTTATTCAATAATCATATTGATATTAACCCATAAGTGTTAAACACCGAGTGAATATCAGCAGATTTCATCAGTCCAGTGAAACTGATATTAGCTTGAAATCTAAAGAAATGACTGTAATCTGGTCATGTTTGTTATGTTATGTTTGTACTCTCACCCATCTCATCTGGCCATCACTGGTCAGGAGGCGGTAAAATCCACGGAAGTTACTCACAATCTCCTGCAAAGATTTGCCGATAACTAGTCCTGCAAGGGCCTTGACAGCACACAGCACTGTGGGGTTTCAACCAGCAACAAAAACAAAGAAAAACTGGATGTAGATCAAAACTTCAACAAAGATCTATAATTTTAATAAACCTCATTTAAACAGATACAGGGACTGTGGAGTCTGAGATGACAGCCCTGCAACAGCCAAGTTATGATGTTCGGTGTTTTGTCCAGTTTATCTCCCTGTTGCTCTGTGCCACCCTACACAAAGGCGTCTCGCTCATAAGCCTGCACTCTTTGATATCCACTGTGACTAATTGAGGGTGAGTGGGAAGAGAAGAGAACAGAGAGAGACAGAGTAACAGTTACACTATGTTAGACAGAGATGAATAATTACTAATGAATATTTTTCAGTTTCAACAGTAGTTTCCTGTTTTATTTTGATAGTCTCTTGCCATGACAATATTTTCTGTTGCTGCAGCGTCAAGAGGACTTGAGTCATGAACTCAAGTCCTCTTGATGCTTTATAACCAGCTACTTTGCACGTACAGCGAGTGAAAGCATTGGGTGAACCGAATGAGGCGAAATTAAATCGAGCTATTAGACCTGAGTGAACTCGTATTGATCAGAGAGTTAGAACAACTAAAATAAACTTAGATTAACCTGAAAGGAACTAATATAGGTTAAGCGGTAGTTGATACAAATCAGGATTTAAAACCAAACCTGGGAAGGGGGAGAAATATATCTTTGTTTTGCTTTTGTTTGTTTGTTTTTTTATCTTCTTGTTTTATTTGAGATAACTAATGCCATATATACACACCATATACACATTTTTATAGTCAATCCTCATGTATTTACTGTGTGCATATTAACTAGTAATCCATCCTTATTCCAGCATCTATGAACCACCATGTTATAAATGTTATCGTTTTTGTCATGTTCATATCATGTCAGTATTCTCTGTAATGTAACTGAAATCCATTGACTAAAACTACCACAAGATGGCAGTGCAGGGCTTGGAAATTAAAAAGAGAAAAGTCATCCAAGATCGGACATTTTCTCTGCAACTTTTTAATCATTAAGGAGCATGTAGGCCATAGAAACACCGACAATAAACCACAATGTGGCTGATTTCTGCATTGTTAATGTTTTTTTTTAAAACAATTTGGTGGTGTAAGTTATGAGACGTTGTATTCATGTAAAAATCTACATCGCAGTTGTAATTTTGCTCAATAAAAAACAGCAGCGTTTTCACATTTACTCTATATAGCTGAGATTTTTTCCCCCTACCGAAAACCTTTTGATAAAATTCACACTGTTCAAGAACCAGAAATTCCGAGCTCACTGCGTGCATTTGAATGCAACAGCAAGTTTGTTGTGGTGGCTTTGTCAAAGTGGGTCTTTAAGGCCGCCCCGCGTGGATCTTACCGATCTCGGTGCCTTTTCCCAACGTGAACGTGAGGCCGAAACCTTTGAGGCCGCTGTCCGTGTCGAGGACCACATAGGCGGCCGAGTAGTCCGGGTCGGTGTGCTGCAGCGTGGACATGAGAGGGGGGGGAAAGGTCTCATTCTTGTGACTGTGTCTGTGAATGCGAACATGCACGCGCGTGGAGAACGAGCTGCACAAACTTCTTACCATCGCGTCTGAGCCGTGCTGCTCCAGGGACGTCGGGAACCTCACATCCCTCACTCTCAAATTAACAATTTTGTGCGACATCTCTGCGCACAGATTAAGTCTGTCATGTGATCGAAGCGGTTTCTGCTGTTGTGACCTCTGTAAGCTTACCCCACCCACTTCACCGTGTCGTGCCGGTTTAAACATTAAAGATGAGGCTTAAAGAGACAAATCAAAGCGTCTGGTCTCTAAGTGAATAATAAAAATATAAAAATACACTGTGTAAAATCGCGTTTTATTGTACAAATTCCCCAGGTGAGTCTCCACCCACAACCTGCCTCCCCGGTAAACTTTGCAGTCTTGTCAATTTTATCAATAATCATACAAAATGAGGAGTTTATAAAGCCCTTCATTACAAGCTCGGTCATCAACTGGAATTAATAACAATATAATATTGTCCTGTCGAGTCCATACAGGAGCAAAGAGAAGAGCTATCATACACATCACTGCCATACAAACAACAGTTTTTGCAGAGTCACCATAAAACACGAGAGTCTGAGTTTCATCCCATCCCTGTTTAAACCGCTAAATAGACCCAGTGACACACTATACAAACGTCTTTCATGTAAGCATGTCTCTGCAGCGATTACAGTGGGATTATAGTAACCGGGGCAGTGAGGGACACAAAGAATTATGGCATTGTAATCACAAAGTCTCTTCTGGAGGATGATGGACAGCGAGGGGAAGTCTTCAAATGAAGCTTTAAATCAATGTCCGTGAGATTATAAATTCTAGGAACATATTTGTTCTTTTTAAAAAAAGACAGAGTTTATCACAATCTTAATCATGTCTACTGCAACTGATGACGTGAATAAAGATAAGCCGTGTGGAATTTGGACCATCAACCTCACCCTGAGAATGTCTCCCCGTTAGGAAAATATATTATTTCTTATCAACAATTAATCATTATGTTGCATAATTTATTGTTACAGCACAAATTTGGAGGCAAATGAGTGCGACGGCCGGCTTTTCTCAGTGGGTTTTTCGTCCGCGAGGCTTCGTCACAGCTTATTTCACAGGAGTAAGAATCCCACGTGGAGTGTATCTGAAACATTTCTCTGAAATCGGAAACCACAGTCATATTCAGAAATTCACACATCTAAGACTTGTGTAGTACCGTAGGTTAACACAAAATTATGAAATGCAACAAAATCTTGTGTGGACACTGGAAACAGAAAAAAAAGGGAGAGAGAAAATGTAGAGCAAGTAGTGGTTTGTGTGACTGGCAGTTTCCGGTCAACTTTTTCTGGACTTGTCATTAAACAAGCTTCCTCTGGGCGTAGGGATACACAGAAGAGTCCAGTCTGGCTATAGGTTTTCTCCAGGTTGATACTGTGGCTCTGTGGCGGTGAAATAGTCCTCCAGGAAGGACTGCAGGTACTCGAAGGTTGGCCTCTCGTCGGGCTCCTTCTTCCAGCACAGCTTCATCATCTCATGAAGGGACTCGGGACAACCCTGCGGGCAGGGCATGCGGTAGCCTCTCTCCACCTGCTCCAACACCTCCCGGTTCACCATACCTGAGGTGGAGATGGAGTGGAGACAGAGAGGGCTGTAAGAGCTTTTGTTCAAGCCTTTTTTTTCCAAATGGAAAAAGAAGAGATAAGAGGGCTCAGGAGGCTGCATGTTCCACAGAAAATCCAGAGTGCATCATTAAAATCACAGCCACCATCAACAGAAAGGATTGAAAGCCTAGCAAATCCCCTCCCTGCTGAATATCAATCTACAGCAGCAAGTTGTGATTAAAAAAAAACTATTTGAGTGTCACAATATAATGGTGCTGATGATATCCATGCTGCATGTAAAATAAATAAATAAATTAAGTAGTAATAGGCAAATCATATATCTGTACTGCAGGTGGACCCCAATAATATAAGAAATTCAGCTTGAAATTCTTCACTTGCATTTTAATATTAATTGATTTATTTATGTTAAAAGTCAATTAAAACTAAGCACCTTCTGTTACCACTTTGTGATATTACTCTTTACGCTGACCTAAATTTACTGCTCTTGTATTGACGCATTGGATCCCAGTGGCAGGAGGCCTTAACACTTTGCACATGACTGGGTAGCATTAGTAATTTATAGCCAACAGTCCATGTGGTTTATGTTTTTAAATAAACATTTTAAGGAAACATATCACTCACTCTTTTATATTTTGATTTCAAGACAAGATTTGGGATTGCTTAGGCTCCATGGGAGTTTGTCCTATAGACTTGTGAACTGATTTGCCTATCATAAAAGTGTATTTAAAACAGAATAGATAAAGAATATTGTGACAGACCTGCCAATCATGTAATCATTTAGCACCTTTAAACTGAGAAAAATCAGTCACAAATTTCCATCCCTAATTTTTCAATCCCAACATTACTGAAGCTGCACATTTGCTCAAATTAAAAGGCTTCATATAATTCATTTGAAATGAAATACAATCTTTTTGTTTGATTTATTACTAAAGACACCAACCTGTTAGTTAAGCTTAGCTTATAGACGTTGTCCAAAAGTAATAAACTAACTAACCCTAACACTTGGAAGGATCCTAATTTTATATATTTTTTCTAACACCGAGCCGGGTCTGAGTCTTTCTCAATGACAACAAACAGGTTACTGATTGTTTTATAGTCTAAACTGTTTATTAATCCATGTCATGTACAGATTGCTTGAGAGTTGTCCGCCCTTTTAAACGTGATACAGCAGTCGGGCAGTGGATGACTTGGGCCTTATTTACTTGATCCTACATGCTCACCAAGGGTGTAACACATCCACAATGGCAGACAAATGAACATCAAATGGTTAGTAAATGTGTGTTTGCAAAAACCTCAACAGAATATATTGTTAAATTTGAGAATTGTTCCTGTGAGGTAAGAATATGGCTACCTTAAGCTGCTACCATACCTGCAATTTCAAACATATAATTGCAAATGTATAAAATCCAGTGGTGTTTGTTCACAGAGCCCAGTGAGCTGTTTCCCCAGGTTTACCATAAATATGTGTCTATTTCTCAAAATGTCAACTTACTTCTATAATCAATTATCAGATTCTCTTCAGCCACACACCTCTAATATTAGTTTCAAGGCTACATCACATATAAACCTGATCTGTGTGAAGGTAGCACAGAAGGCTACGGGCACTGCTCCCTGGGGCAGAATCGGTCTGGCAGATGGTTATAAACAAGAGTTGTGTTCAATCTCCTGATCGTCCCCCACCAGATGGTCTCATCTAATCTCAAATGTGCCACAGAGTCTGTGTATGTGTGTGTGTAAGGCTATCTGTGTGTGCATGCGTGTACATGTCAATACTCCCCCTACAGAGCCATAAACAACCAGCGCAGACAATGTCAGACAGCTTCACTTCATCCTCTGATATTAACAAGCACACCAGCTCAACGTCTGCTGACAGACTGCAGGCTGATCGCTCTGGTCATTAATCACTGCGCTCTGTTGGTGCACTACACCTTTTATTCACACCAGGTATGTGTATATCTGTGTGCTAGTGTTGACCCTGTCACTTACCTGGATAGGGCACTCTGCCTTTGGTGACAAGCTCAGTGAGCAGGATGCCAAAGGACCAGACGTCTGACTTGATGGTGAAACGGCCGTACAGCGCAGCTTCTGGGGCCGTCCATTTAATAGGGAATTTGGCTCCTGCGTGTGATGGAGGAGACAGGAGAGAGGGTTAGGTGAAGTGCTGCCACTAGAGGGCATATGGGCTAATTTCTGTCTTCGTTTCCAGGAAGTCACAGGAAGGTCAGTTAACCATAGTTATATAATTTGGAGCACATTATATTTTCCTACTCAGTCATACAGATTTTTTAAATAGACCTCAGAGAAAACAGGTTTAAGGGGTAACAACGAATATAAACAATACAATAAAGAACGCTGCATTTGAATAATTTAAAAAAAGCTATCTAAAGTATTAAAAGTATTTATTAATATATATTTCAAAAAGCAGTTTCATTTGAACTACTCTCTACCTGAGAAACTGTCCTCATGGAAATAGTGTCATGTGCACCACAAACAAAAGTTCATTGATCTCTGCCACAGTCACGAACTCATATACAGACTGTACATAAAAGATGGACACAGACATGGTAGCATCATCTAGCGTAGCAAAGTCTCAACGTGATGTTTCCCTGTCACCATCACAGTGTTTTAAAACACATGGATGTGACAGAGAAACAAAAACAAACACTGCCCTCTTATGTGTTATTAAGAACAGTATGCTCTATTGTTTATTTCGCTGTAAACAAGACTATAATTTACCAAATGAATGTAATGTTGTATTAAAGTGTCTTAAAAGTAGCTGTTAACAGAATAAACCCATCTGAAAAGTGTTTACTGAGGTCATAGAGAACCCAGCGCAGTTTCTCCAGGCACGGGAGTTACATCTTTTATATACAGTCTATGAGATTAAGTGAATTTTTTACAGCCACCAAGTTTTCAGATCTTTGACCAAGCAGATGCTCACAGGTATCTTTTTAGTCTTCTGTCCCAGGTATTTAGTTTTTCTGCTCCTAAGCAGGCTATCAACTGTGCCCCACTTCCCTCAGCTAATATGCTGCTAATGCAACATTTTTAGCATATTTTTGAGGACTGTGTGTTTATAAGATTATTTTTTCATCCATCTCATGATATATCGATTAGCTTCAGCTCTACTTTAGTGATAAATTACTAAATCTCAAACTAAAAATGTGAGCATATTTAGTATTTAACTCCTTTCTTTCTTTATAGCATCACTGGCAACTGTCTCTTGTTTCTACGCCACTGGTCTTCAGACTGTAATTAAATTTGTAGAGCAGTACTGTTCCCTAAGTTTCACAGGTGCTTCTAAAACAAGCTTCAGAAGGAAACTGCAGTCTTCAGCCTTCACTGGAAGCATCTAAAGCTTGCTCCACTTTCTCATGAGGGTAAGGCACTGCTTGCGAAGCAGAAATAGCAGAGATAAATTCTTCCAACATGTGAAAAGGAAAGCTAATAAGAGATCAAAAGAAGCATCTGGTTTTTCTTATGTTAGCCTAATTCATCATGAGGTGAGACAACCGGGAGTCGTCATAGCTGTGAGGTCACTGCTCTCTCTGTTTCTGCCCTGACACCTCATTCACCTGTGACTCACACAGCCTGTGTTTAAGTGTGCGTGTACCCACCTTGCCTCGCCGTGTACTCGTTGTCCTCTATCAGCCTGGCCAAACCGAAGTCGGCAATCTTACACACCAGGTTCTCGCCCACGAGGATGTTGGCGGCACGCAGGTCCCTGTGAATGTAGTTCATCCTCTCGATGAAAGCCATGCCATCAGCGATCTTTAAAATAAACACACAAAAACAGAAACCCAAAATGGTTAGACAGCATCTCACGTTCGCCACTTCAGCTAATAATTTTCAGCTTCTCGTACTTTCCATCACCTCTTCATGTCTGATTGATTTTCAAAGAGTAAGAATAAAAGCAAAGTGTGCCAAATCTGGGAGAGGAGGACTTGTTTACCTGAGGCTGTGATTCTTCTTCTTCTTTCTTCTTTTTTTTTTTTAAATGTCAGAAGCTTAAAATAGAGCTCTATACTTGGCAGTGCACTGAGGTGAATTCTGCACTAGTGGAGAAAAAAAAGATACAGGTACTGGTCTCACCTTTGCAGCCATGTCCACCAGCATGACAAGATTCAAATGTCTGCCATCTCCTTCTTTGAGGAAGTCCAGCAGGCTTCCTATTAAAAGCAAGTGTGAGAAGTCATAATGGATGTGAGGGAGCTGCATAACGACATACTGCTACAGAGTGCGGAATAATAGCTTAAAGTGAATAATGCATTAAGTTGGACAGTAATTAATTTTGCGATTCACAGTGTTAGCTGATCCATGTTTCTTGTTTGGAGTTAAAGTATGGAAAGGTCAGTGTCAGTGTCTTTGTGAAATCACTGCACCCGAGTGCATCAAAGACTGCAGACACGTAGGCATGCATCTGTCACCGAGTAACCTCAGAAAATTTTTTTCTATGAAAACCTGCTGCAGCTTTCAATTACCCATTCCACTTTCCCGCATCAGGGACCCACCAGGGACCCTGAGGGACTTTCAATTTTTAAAGCATATTAATTAAAAAGCCTATAAAATTTACATTTTTCCTTCAAGGAAATCACCATGTGTAAATTAAAGAGGAAAAAAAGCAAGGGCATGTGATCCACCTGAAAAATCTAGAGGCTCACACCTGATGTTGCTTTTCCTTCTCTCTAAAAATAGACCTCAGGAGTGTCGTGTAACAGGAAAACAGCTGAGTACTGTTATTCTCCAGGGATTGGCGGTACCTTTGGACATGTACTCTGTGACAATATAGATGGGTTCCTCAGACACCACTGCATACAGAGGCACCAGCTTGTCATGCCTGAGCTTCTTCATAATCTGAGCCTCTTGGAGGAAGGCCTCAGGCGACATGGTCCCCGGCTTCAGCGTCTTTATGGCTACCTTAGTTGTACCATTCCACGTGCCTGCGGAGATGGAGATGCGGGGGAGAGAAAAGCCCACAGGCAACAGGGGTAATCAGTGTTGTTAATGGGCTGGGAGCGAGACAATATCATTAATTAGGTCTTGTAATTGCTCAGACATGTGCTGTCATGCATGCGATTCTCGCAAAATATCCCTGGGATGAGCGGATACGGGCTCACGGCAAACAAATCCAGCTCGCTCTCTCCTCCTGAGAGATACGATCTCTAGAGATAAAGATGATATAACAAAAAGAGGAAGCAACTGAAGGAAGTGGATAAGTCCCCAGCTCTGACAGAGACAATAAACATAGATGGACAATGACATTTTCTATATAAACTGGGGCTTATTCTGTATTTCCCAATGTACATAAATATAGATAATTACTAAACAACATGTGGCTGCTTTGGCCTTACCCATCCAAACCTCTCCAAAGCAGCCCTGGCCCAGTTTGAGCTCCAGCTGCAGTGACTCCCGGGGAATCTCCCAGGCATCTTTAGCAAGGCCCTGGGTCTGAGGCTTGACTGTGGGGCAAACTGTGGTCAGCTTGTGGCAGAGCCCGTCAGCATGCTCTGTGACAGAGACACCGAGAGAAATCAAAATGACACATTACACCCAGCAGTGCCACACACCAATACACACAAGTCTTTTAACCAGCAGGATTCAGTGTCGTAAAGTTTCATCCATCATTCGTTCCATTTGATGTGGATGACTTTAGATGCACTCATCCCAGCTGCGATGAAATATAAATGAGATGAAGTGGCTTTTTAACACACCAGAGCGCTCTCGAGAGCCAAGCTGAAATGGAGTGGGATCACAGAGACTTAACCTCAGCTCTCTTCGGGCTAAGGAGGAGGTGTGAGTTTCAAAATTATAACAGCACCATCAATTGTTATTAAAATTAAAGGCCATTCATCTCCTGTGGTAACCCTAAAGGAAGCACGGCAAACTGCGTGGCACAGAGCAGCAGCTGTGAGTAAGAGTAATTTTCAGGATAATTCCTCGAGGTATGAAGAACGACTGTGATGAATAATGAATGAGATGACACAGAAAAAGCGAGTGAGCAGGGAGTGCTGCCTGTGTACATACCTGTATAATGTTTCACAAGCTTCTGTAATGTGTCAAATTGTGCTCTGGTAGTGATGTAGTACCCCCCATTATCAAGCTTGCGGATTTTGTAGTGTTTCACATTATCTCCTTTGGATTCGTCCCAGTCCCGTATGGAAAGAGAATAAGCACCTGGAGGACATACAGGAAGTGGTTTTCATTTTTTAAGCACAACTGTGAGTGATTTGGCTTTGTTGTGGTTAAAAAACATGGCTTCCAAACTAGGATAAAGCTCTGGTTTCCTCAGACTTTTTTTTTCCTTTTTTACAGCTGTGAATTTATGTTTTTCTTACAAAGTTGTTATTCTTAGCACAAAAAAGTATCCTCCACTGCTTTGGAGACTTATGTTTCTTCCATCAGTTTCTGATGCTAAATACATCAATACCACAACAGCCTGAACACTGAAGTCAAACACAGGGCAATTATTTTTTACAGAGAGTTCTTACCATTGCTGGCTGCTTCATTCTTTTAAAGCAGCTGCATGCTGTTATTAGTCTTCCTCATGGCTTTATGCAGATCCAATTGTGCAACTGTTGTAGGTTTTGTTCTCTTTACTATTTTAACAGTACCAGGATCTATGCATCCGTACGCGCTACAGGGTGCTGCAGAAAATGATTGCTGCCCCCACCCTTCTCACACACAGGCTAAGAGAAAGCTCACTCATCTAGACGAGGAACAGCAAATATGAATCATACTTTAATCTTATTGCAAATTAGAGTTGGTGAGAAGAATTTTTTTAAAGATTTAGCTGTGACACAAGCAGTGTTAAACTTGTGCATCCATTAATGTGACAGCATGAATTCAAATGTACTATAGTCAAAGTCATCAGTAAGTGACCTCCGTTGCAATTCCCAAGCATGCCATGAACTGAAAACTGCTATAACACCTGCATCACTGTCCACAGTGAAGCCAGTTTTACATTGCCCCTGACCAAAATCAGCACATTCGTGCATGACTGAAATGTACACCTGCGCACAGGGACAAACCAAATGCCTTTGGAAGAAAAATCTTACAGTCAGACGAGACAAAGAATTAGCTATTTGACAACAATAACTAGAGGTATCTTTGGAGGGGTAAAGGTAAGGCTTTCAGATCTAAGAACACTGACAGCTGTGTTCTTAGACTATCTCAAAACCCCAACTTCACTCCAAACAATAATTTATGGACTATATTTTAAAGCCGGGTCTGTGCCAGCAAATCAACCAATTTAAATAAAGAGTGGTCAAATATCCAACCAGGTTTATACAAGGATACTAAAGGCATCTGGCTGAGGTACTACTAAGGGGCTTTTGGGGTCAGTAGAGGCCATGGTAGCAACCTAAATGTTGAAGCTTTAAAATGCTAAAATCAACAGGTAACATTGATAGAGATACGTCCATCTTTTTTTAAAGACTCACTAATACTAACACTAACAACTATAACAGTCTCGTTGTATCATGTCATTATAGTTGACCTACTCACCTTCCACCCAGAATCTGAAAGTGGAGTGATTTAATGTGGTGAATGTATTTCATATAAGCACTTTTTTTTAGCATTGCAAAATTATTACTTATGTCGTTGTTTATATTTGCCACGAAGTCATGAAAGTGCTTAGTTGCATGATCCATGCAGCAACAGGATTTTCAGCCTGGACCACTTTAGTCAAAAGAACATTTCTATTTCCATTTGCAGTAGTTTATATTTGGCGATAAGTATCTGTCTTGGGTCTTCCCTGCTTTTCCCCACTTACATGTGGAAAGCTGAAGGTGGGGGAAAAAGCAGCAAGAAGCAAAACCCCAGCACGACAGAGATCAATGACAATAGAAATAACAATGAACCTGAAATGATACATCTGCAGTGACCATGCTAGATTGTAATCCATGCACGCCCGGAAACGACTCCTCCCACTTTGCTGAATATAATCACCTTTAGTAGTTTCACTTTCTCGCACCAAGAAAGTTCCTCGATGATTCCCTGGATTCAGCAGCAACCTCTCAGCATCTTTGCGTCCCATTTTACCAAAGTACCACCTGCAAAGAAAGAGCATTTGAATAAAATGCTCAGACGTGACTAAGGACTTGAATGGTTAAAAACACAAAAAACAAAAAAGCAGGAACGCATTTAATGCATTCCCTTCTTTTGAATGTCACAATCACATCATAAAGCCTTTTAAAGGCTGTTAATGTTGGATAGCGTGCTTTGTGCAATATGAGGTCATAGCTTCTTGGTGCAGCTGTCATAGCTGGAGTAATGAGGTTATAAGAAGCAGCAACAAGGTCTTACTCTTCAGCCTGGATGGAGTCAGCAGGAGCCACATAATTACTTGGGATGTAGCCTTTCTTCCCTGTGTTGATGGAGCGAGCCTCCCACCAGTCTCCTTCTCTGCAGTGTGACAGCGACACAGGAGATGAGATAAATGACTTGTTCAGTTAATACTCAACCAAAGACTGATTATCAAATAATAGTGTCACTGATACCTGGAACGGAAAAAAACTGTAAATGATGGCTTATAATTTTTGGGTAAGCCCTGTGGAAATACTTCGAAATTCTTTTCAATCTTGTTTGCACTTGTAAACCTCATTATTTGATTCAAAATCAGTCTTTAAAATGTGTTTAACACTAAATGCTAACATCTAAATGGGACTGAATGAGACTAATCTATTTTACATTACAATAATATAACCCGGGGCAACATTTCTGCCAGAGCAGACGTGCACAGTTCCCAGTAGAAAGCTGGCATTAGGAGACAAGTGGCAATCTAAGTCATTCATTGAGGCCGACACACGGCGAACAGGTGCAGCTGTGCATTGCTGCGACAAAGAAAGGCATCTGGTAATCGCAGCAGTACTCACGAGGAAGCATTTTCATACAGGCGCTTCATAAACTGAGAGAGAAACTGGAGCGATTCTTACGTATTGTTGATGATCTGGAAACGATCTCCTTTTTTAAAGGTGAGGTCATCTGACGTTCTGGCTTCGTAGTCGTACAAGGCCACAAAGAATGTAACGCCACCTAACAACATAAAAAGAGACAAAGAACTGAAAAGAATAACATCACAGCGATGCGACAATGTTTGTGTCTTAACAGCATGGAAATATGACTGAGAATAGATGTTGTCAAGACAGTGAAATTTACACACATGGTAAACAACTCCCACCGTATAAAACTGGTTTTATTTGATAGTGTTGCTTTCCATGTAATAATAAAGTTTATTAGTATATCACATTTGAGAACACAGGTGCTCTATCTTTCCATGCAATATTTTGCCTACTGTGTAGCCATATGCCCAGACATGATATTCATATACCTACCACTGACAACAATGCTGTCAACAGTAATTCTATTATCACCTGCAGAAAGCAAATACCTTGGCAGTGCCACCTTTATCCCCCTCTGAGAGCAGATAATCCATCATGGAGAAGGATTACAACCTAAATCCCACCTAAACAGGAGGGCTCTCAGGATCGCTGTAAGCTGTGTGATCAGAGCCGATAGTTGTTATCGCCAACAACTTCAAATAACATCGACCGGCATTAGCTGTGACACCGTAAAGCCAGATCAGCATGCTGACCAGGCTAAGCCTAATATTAATAATGTTTGCATGTTTTATCCCATTTATGTTTTACTGTAATACAAATTATGTTTACTTTGCATTTCTGCTCCTGACCGTCTCAGCATATGTGATGGGAATTTTCTATTTCATAAAGCTCTTTCAGTTTATGTCACTGTAACATTCAAATCAATATTCAGGACATCGAACTTGGGCCAGCGATGTGACAGTTAAAAGTGGACTGCATTAGTACAAAACAAAGAGGACGTAATGTTGATGAAATAAAACTAAAGCCTGATTTAAGGCAGATTTATGATCCCATGTTGGTGTCTGTTTGCTTAACTCTTCAGTTACACAGTCAAGGATTATGAGACGCATCTGTTCTCCATTTATGAGAATATACATATACATATATCTATATACATGTCAAAAGCTGATTGATTGAAAGTGGACTGAACTGAAAACATCAGGATTTCTATCTTCTCTTCTGCAGGGAATAAGCAGAAGGACCAACATCAACATAGGCAAGAGCCACTACAGACAGTATAAAACATGGAAACTGGTTCTGAATTGGAAAAATTGAGTCAATGCAGGAATTACTTAAAACTGCACTCTATCTGAAGATCACTAGATGGTGACAGGCCATAAAAAGACTTCCAGTCCTATTGAGGTTTGCAGACACGTGACTGCTAACCACATGACATTAACTTGTCCACCATTTTGGACACATAGCAATCATGGTGACAATGTAGGATCAAGTGAATAAGTGCAACACAAACTGTAAACGTGGATCATTTTGCTTCAAAGTAAAGCTTGCACCTTTTGAAATACGCTAGCTTTAGTGTTGAGGCACAACTTTTATTTTTAAGGTTAATTTTCTTCATTTTTGGTTTGTGGTGCACTTTTTTGAGTTTTTCTAACACTCGGCTAGTAGTTAGCGAGCATTTGCAGAGAAATGCGATCACCAAAATGTGCTTCTATACCAATAAATATTTCCCTAGCAACCGGGTCTAATACAGTGGACACATTTTGATGTGCGCATGACATCAAATGAATGTCTGCAGTTGGTGTTAGACAGAAGCAACATGTAGACATCTGTCTGCAAAGCTCTCCATAGGATGTACATGTTGAGCTTTAAATAATAAAGATTTAAGTAAACAGTGGTTTCATTTTGCATGAACACCATTATCAGTGCAGTATTGACATCACGCAGTAAAACTCTACTCACTGGGGACGGAACCAGAGAATGAGTTGGACACAGGACCGGAGAAAGAAGATGACGTTCCTCCAAAGGGAGTAATGGCAGATGAAGAGCCACCAAACGGCGTGAGGGTGTGGTTGAAATTTACTGCCCCCGAGCCAGAGGAAGATGAGGGAATTTGACTCTGCTGCAGCTGGGTGGGTTCTGGTCCGTAGTGACCGACGTGAGGCGTGGTGGCGGTATTGGTGTCAGATGCCTGGGAGTTCTCTGGCTGATACTTCATCGTCTGGCCTTTGTCCTCTTTGCTCTTTATGCACCCCATCTTCTCACCCTTGAGAAAGAACACACAACAAGAAGATATTATTTCAGTGTAAACAGAGGAGGAGGATGAGACAGTATAGATGGAGGGGCTGAGGGGCATATAGGATTACTGACTACAACATAAGGTCTGCAGGAACTGGAACAAGCATTATGAAATAAAAATGTATTGACCTGATATGATTATGTGAATCATTTTATTGTTGTTAAAACCTCTAAGACTATAAGCCATGTGGTAACTGGGACATATGGATAAATGTAAAATCCGATTTGAATCACTCAAACAAGGCCATGTAGATAAAACTGTGCAGTTCTGTCGTTTTCACTATTACCATCTATTACTTGACGCTCCTGTTCCATCAAGAGACTCTGTAAACAAATAACAGATTTTAAATCTACTCCACATTATATAGGGAAATGCATATTTCTTTGGAGTATCTACATTTATGCCTTGCTGCAATTCAGACAAGTCTGTATGGGGCCCTCCATCCATGGATGGTTACCAAATGGGTTCAACATGCCAAAGATCCAGAGGCCCAAAGTGTCACAGTCCATTTCTATGAAGTGACAGTTCATGCCTTTTATTAAATATCAATCAAATTACAGCAAAGAGTAGCAGAAGTATCATAAGACACAAAATGACCACATAAGACCTCAGGCATCCTAATCGGGTGCCCGAACCACCTGATATTTTTCGTTTTGATGTGGAGTAAAGTCTCTACTCTACTCTGAGTCCCCAATCAACCCTTGGTGGAAACTCATTTCTGCCCCGTGTATCTGCAATCTCACTTTTTGATTATTTGAGGTTAAGAATGTAGACTGACATATCATAGCTTCTGAACCAAACCCCAAGATATTTGTGGCAACAACTTGTCCCTGACTTGCAGTGGGCACTTATATCTTTTCTGGCCAAGAAACATGGCCTTAGACTTGGAGGTGCTGATTTCCATTCCTTGGCTATGAACTACTCCAGAGCAAGTTGGAGGTCACCACCTGATGAAGCCAACAGAACCACATCATGCGCAAAAAGCTGAGATGTGACCTTGAGGCCAGATAGGGAAAGTGGAAATCTTCTGCTACTTGGCTATGTCACAGATTATGTTCATAAAAGCTACGTACAGATAAAGGCAGCTTTGTTGGAGGCCCAATAGCCACTATAAAGAAAATTAAAGAAACCATAAAGAGACATCGTCGGATAATCACAAAACAGACGTAAAAATTAAAAGAATAAAATGACTGCAAAGAGAAAAAGCAACCAACAAATACTTACAGCGACACAGAAAACAGCATAAACTGACCAGAAACAAAATGCAACAAAACCACTAAGAAACACTCAAAGTCACACAATCATATTACAAAGTGATACAAAATGACAGCAAAAGGAAATTACTACAAATTTGATTATAAATGAGCGACACAATAATCGGTGTCGGGCAAAACTGTGAGTCATTTTTGTGTCCGAGCCTGAGATTCCTGGATTTTGTGTCTTTGTCCGGGCATCTTAGTCCTCTGCTTTTTACACGTCTCTGCCAAGTCGTCTACCATTTCACAATCTATCAATGCCTCAGCCTGACCACGCTGGAAGATTTAAAGCATTGATGTGTCTCTATCGGCGTGGTTGTCATTCCTCTTCCTAACATAATTTGGATGGAGTCACACTGAGGCATTCTTTTGTGGAGTGAAGGCCTGGAAAATGTGGAGACAATCAGATACGCTCGTAAAGAAGTCTGAGCGCTGGGAGATCAGAACGGTTTCATTTGCCAAGAACAACGGCTGAACGCAGAGTAGGAGCTGGTTTACTGACACTCCAAGACAGTAAAACAAAAGAGGTAAAAGATTTTTTATAAAGAGCTGATATGTTCAGCGTGGAAGTAGACTAAACACAGCGCTACTGAGCAATACGGCGGCACAGTTGGTTACAGCAGCGCACTGAATTACAGGGCAGTGATCGTACAATCATCAGTGAAAGAGGATCTACTGGTGCAGTAATACATCTCTCTTTGATTTTGTAACAGTGGCCTTGATGTTGGGAGGTGGGAGGGATTTGTCCTCATCGTAGAGGGAGGTTCATAATCAAGAGTTCATCGAGTTCTTCAGCTAAACTGCCAAAGAAATCAACAAAACGGGGACAAACCGCAGAAACCTTCCAAAGATTCAGAACACTTTGCTTAAATAAAACTGTGCAAATTGCAGGTTGCAAGTCATGCTGGGTACTGGTCGTCTTCCACAAAACATTTTTTATGGGTGGTCAGTTAGTGGAGTTGTGTCAGAAAGACGGATTTCTTAAAAACGGCTTCAAATGAATATGTCGGTAAATCTGATCTCAGATTTTAGATCTGCAGCTGACATGCTGAGAATGTTGGCATGGAAAAAAAAACACTTTTCTGAACCAAACTTTCCTTTAACCTCGAGACAAAACCAGTGTCACGGAAAGCAGAGGGCTTTGCTCAGTGGTCGACTCGGGTGGCCTTGTATTTCACATTTAGACAGATGGGTGCCTGGCCCGCCCGGTCAGCAGTGAAGCTATCACACCGTAAAACACTGGCCGGCATCCCGGGAATATTTGCACTTTAGAAATGTTTTTCCTTCCAAAAATAAGGCCTCAGTCATTTCATAAAAGTGATGTCAGTCTCCCAAAATTATCATAAATACTGAAGTTAAGAGATTTAAAAATAAAGTATGTCTCTTTTATTTTTATACTATACCAGAATGCTGTTAAATAATTACACATCACAGTTTTTTTGGTCAGTGTAGTAATGTAGTGAGATAATGGATTAATAACTTATTTGTTAAGATGATTTCTTTTCTGCTTTGGAAAAATCAATCTTGTAGAAGGAAAGAGGAACCAAGAATCGGCCATAAACGCGATGCCTTCAGTTCACATGTGATCTTTGTTTAACATTTTCACCATCCCTCTGATAAAGCTACAAAAAATGCTCCTAAAAGTGATTTTAAAAAATCAGTGTGTTCAAAGTTTAGTCTTTTTAATCAATGCTACAAGACTTATTTTTAGCATTGAAGGGTTTCAGTGCTGGTCTGACAGCTGTTGAATTTGTCTTGAATTTGTCAGATATCTGATCAGATGTAGTCAGAGAGATCAAAGCATCCACCCAGCAACTGAAAGACAAATTCAACAGCTGTCAGATGTCTCACAGATGCTGTTTACGCCACAGTTCATGCGTGAAAGTGGTCACAGCTTTTGTATTTGGGCTTTGATGATAAACTGGATATTTTAAACTACATTGTTGCACACACGTATGATATATGATATGATATTCTCATATGATAATATCATATAATTGTTCTTTTTGTAGGATTTTACACAATATTGGGGAAAAAAACCTACACCTTCCTGAACCTGGATTTTGAGTGAAATTAATTTGTCAAAAATGAGACAAAACTCACAATAAACAAAGTCAAAAATTAGTTTTTTCAATATAGCATATTCATTTCATTTTCTTTTTTATTAATATAGCACAAATACTGACTCAAATCCGGCATTGTGGCAGCCAAGTTTGGTAAGTATGCACTTTCTTGTTTTTTGTTAAGGGTTAGGAAACATTAGCATGCTTTAACAATAAACTAAGATACCAAACATAGAAAATATTTCTTGCAAAATACCAACATGGACTATTTGGTTAGCAATTAGATTAAATCACAGTGTTTGATAAGCATGGCTTCACAGTGCTTTAGTCTTCATAAAAAGAAAGATACTGAGTTCATTAGGTAATTGTTAAAGTTAGCATGCTGTTTGCTTTTCGATACAATGATCAATAAGCTGATCAAAAATGAAAAGTGTTAACAATAATCCTAAATTTGATTTATGCTGTTAAAAGTTTAACAACAAAGCTATCAGCCTGTTGACAGTACATTTAAGGTTCTGTACTTTAAGCTAGCAAGTTAAATTCACTGAAATTCCCATCGGATACTGAAAGGAGTTTATCTGTCAGCACACACTCACTTCCTCATCCTATTTGTATTAATACAGAAGCAATAACTATGATATATGGTGTTAACTGAAGGCTGGGCTATAACTGCAGTGGAGCATACTAAACAGATAGATTCCTATCTCAGTGTCACAATATCCTTCCAAAACCCCAATGATAAAAACTCAGATACGATTCCTGTTACTGGTTGTGTGAAGAAAGAAATGTTATGAAATGTAGGGTACAGGGAGAGTTTTGCTGAATGCTTGTGCTGAATGAGGAGGGGGCCAAACGGGCTCATAGCCAGCTTTACCAGCTTAAATTACTAGGAGGATTATGAGGATGGTGGATTTAACTTAAGAGGATAATAACAGAAAACAAAAAAAGAGGAGTGACCACCGGTGGCAGTAGCTGAAACACTGAAGACTTCTGACTCTACAGTCACTTTGGCCTATTAAATATTTGTTGCGTTCATGGGCTTCTCACATGAGCAGAATTATGAGGGCTATCAGCTGAAGAGGAGGCTCTTAAGGGCTCTTTGCTGTGACGATACAAAGACGACTGGCTCTGCCTGAAGCCTCTAAATCAGCTCAGTTAGCTCTCTGTCAGTCTGCCAGTCATCACATACTGACACCACAGGCTTTGTCTACACTGAAAATCGAGAGCTTTAGGAGAAAATATGGCACAAAAATAAAAGATGCAACAGCAACAATGTTAAGGCCAGTGAGCATGCATAGCTGTCATGAACCCCCCCCCCCCCCCCAAACCTCCACAATCACAAGAAAAATCACACTCTAACATCAAAATGCCTCACTCTCTTTTGCACTCAGCGCAACACAAGATCTGTAGCAGAATCATGAAGCCAAAAGGAAAATCTGCCTTGCTGCTAATTATAGTAACTTACTCTAATTGCGGACAACATCCCACTGCCCCCAGGATGCTAACATGACCTACAACAGCATGCAAACACGAGAAGACTCCCAGTAGCACCAGTCGGAGCCATAAAGGAACAATGAGAGAGGAAGGTGAAGGGTTTAAAAATAGGGAAGCTTACATGTCAGCACATGCACATATAAACCAAGGCCTC